AATTTAAGTATAAGAGCTAGTTAGTAATAAACCTGAGCTACCAGCTGAGCATTTATAATTAATATAAGTCTCTGAGTGATTATTTGGAAGCCCACTGTGGGACAGGGCAGGACACAGAAAAGCTTCTCACTTCAAGTTCCACTAACTGGGGACAAAGCATTCAAATATATTGAACCTATGGGAGCTATTCTCATTCAAACCAGCACATACACTATGTGAGTTAATACTGTGACAAGTATTTCTGTCATCTTAGTGGTAAACAGACCACAGCAGAGAGGGGGCACTAAACTTGCAGCTCATACAACAGATAGGTGCTCTACTAAAGCAGTCAGGTCTTCCTCACTTAAGTCACTTCTTTTCACTAAACCTTTACCTCCTTGGAATAAATTATATTAACTCACATTAAAAGTAAATAAAATGTTACACTGAAATTGTGCTTTCAGGTCAAATTATCTACTCTCCCATCCTCCCCAAGACTACAACATAGTCATTGTGAGGTCTACAGATGTCTTTGATCCTGGGCAGTGGCAGTAAGCTGAAGGTTGTTTTGAAAGGAGTACAAATCACCCAGTGATTTGGCGATTGTTGGTGAAAGAAAATCCTGTTCTCATCATCCTCTTTCATGGGAACCTTCTATGGTCCAAAATACTTTTTAGACCATGTGCCATTTTAAATATCCTGGCCAAATCCTATTATAAGCAACTCTTGGGATCCATAGTCTTTGGTTGTACTGGAATTTTGCTTTTTTCCTATACCCATTGAATACAGAGGCTACCTAGTGATGTTTGAACAGAAAGATGGAGTTTTCCAGTGAGTAGATAAATAAATTTCCTACAGCTGAAGAAAGTATATTTTCAGACTGAAAACACCTACTAGGTGCTGATTACAGGATTAAATAAAAACCAGATGCCATGGTGAAATTAGAAAATAGGTACCAAAGAGATGGTTGGGTTTGCTCAGTTTAGGAGGTTTCAATCACGGTCAAGTGGCTCTGTTGCTCTGGGGTCTGTAGGGGGCAGCACATCATGGCAGGGAACTTACAATACAGCAAGGCCCTTATCTCCCTGCCCAGAAAGGAAAATGAGGAGAAAAGGATGAGAGTCCCACTATTACTTCAAGGGCACGCCAGCAATGGGCAGAAGACCTTCCCACTCAGCCCTACCTCTGAATGTTTCTACCACTTCCCATAGCATCAGGCTGAGGAATATATCTAGAACACCTGATGGTCTAATAAAGAACTGAACAGCCAATGGCAAGGCAGGAGAAAGGATAGACGGAGCTGTCAGGCAGAAAGAATTAATAGAAGGAGAAATCTGGGAGAAGAGAGATCTAGGAGCAAGAGAAGGAGGAAGACATCAAGGGCCAGCCACCCAACTACACAGCAGCAATGGAGTAAGAAAGAATGGTATACAAAAACAGAGAAAGGTAAAAGCACAGAGGCAAAAGACAGACGGGTTAATTTAAGAAAAGCTGGCAAGAAACAAGCCAAGCTAAGGCCAGGCATTCCTAATTAAGAATAAGCCTCTGTGTGTGATTTATTTGGGAGCTGGGAGATGGGTCCCCGAAAAGAGCAAAAGCAACCAACAACATCCCTCCCACCTTAAAATGTTATTAAAGTGTTATTTTTTTTCTCCCCTCTATTGGTGACTATGAGTCACACTAACAATCAGACAAGGTTATGGAGGCAACAACAGTGCAAAGCAACAACATCCCCTGAACAATGTGTGGCCTGTGAGCTGACACACTGCCCTAATGTTCCAGAACAGACAGGGACCAGCAATGGAACAGGAAAGAAACTCTTTCTCACCAGGCAACTAAACTATGCTTCCTGCTTATGCCCAACCCATTAATGTATAGATTAATCATATGTTTCTTCTACAGCACTTTCATATATGTAGGTAAACAAATACAATGTAGTATAATGATATAAATAGCATAATATATAATAATTCTATCAAATATTATTTTCTTTTCAAAGTAATGACTTGAGGCTATAATCTTCTCATTAATGCTAGCCTCCCAATATCTAACAAAACAACTTCCAGAAATCTGATTAAATTGGAGTTGACCTCCAGTCTTGGTTCTTCACCTACTTCCCCATGGTTTTGTTTTAAGATTTGGGAAACTGTAACTCTGCCATACTTGGGTAAAGCTCAACCTTTCAGCAACTGTTTAAATATGTTTAAACACAAAGTTACAATCAACCCTGAAAGAAGAGAAGCCAGCATATATTTGATCTAAATTTAGGCTTTCACTGAAGACAAGGAAGAAATAAGACAGGGAAGAGGTGAAAAATGAAAATGCAAACTAGAGCCAGGTGGTGAAGGTGGTGAACACTTTTAATCCCAGCACTCAGGAAGCTGAGGCAGGAGGATCTCTGTGAGTTCAAGGCCAGCCTAGTCTACAGAGTGAGTTCCAGGACAGCCAGGACTACATAGAGATACTCTGTCTCAGGAAAAGCCTTTAAAAAAAAATAAAAAATAAGGAAACACAAACTGGAATAGTGCAAAGATGTTTTTCTTTCAGATTGTACTGATGGCATATTCAAAGATCTGAGCCCCTTGGCATCTTTCTTTATCTGCCTTTGAAAAGAAAAGCTTCACCGAGGGACACAGCCACACTTCACCACCCTCACTCCCCTGCCCTAGTCACTGTTGCACTTACGGTTTGATTTTGTTTGGTTGGTTGGTTAGTTGGTTTGGTTTGGTTTGGTTTGGTTTGGTTTGGTTTGGTTTGGTTTTTCTCCAGATAGGGTTTGTAGCCCTGGCTGTCCTGGAACTCAAGAGATTCACCTGCCTCCTCCTCCCAAGTGCTGGGATTAAAAATGTGTGCGACCACCACCACACTTACATTTAAAACTCCACACAAGTGCCTTACTGACTGTTTATTTACTCTTTAGCACATAACAGAGTGTGCCAAGCACATAGCACGTGCTCAGTAACTACTAGCTAAATAAATGAGTGAATGGACGACTTGAGTTTGTAAGATCCACGATGATATAGCCAATAGCAATGTACTTATTTACACGTATGTATTCCTCTACAGCTTTTATTAGTTTCTCAAAGGGACAAATAGTTCCTTAAAAACCACTGGCCTGGCAGGTCCTCAGAGAGTCAACCCAGTTTTTAGAATCTCTCAAATTGTTAGAATGAAGAGATATAATTCTACCTTCATCCAGCCACTTACTCTTTGAAATGAAACAATACTGAACCTATCATCACTAACCCCTATTTTTAGAAGCTGTGGAGAGAAATTTACACCAAAAAAACAAACAAACAAACAAACAAACAAAAAAACCCAGATAGCTCACCTATCTTGACATTATACCCCTAATTCCTCTCTTCCTAGTTTCTCCTCAGAAGTTCATTGGGGGGGGAGGGGGGAAGGCCAGGTGTGGTGGTGCACATCTGTAATCCCAGCACTCAGGAAATGAGGCTGGAAGAGCACAAGTTCACAGCTAGTGCAGGTGATAAGTAGCTTCCAGGGCAGACTGAATTACATAGGGAACCTGTGCCTCAAAAACAAATGAACAAGACACTCTCCTTGTTCCTTTGCCTCATCCTAAAATGTTCCAAATACTAATGTTATATATTAATGTCTAACCTAATTCTAAAAGGTCCTTAAAAAACAATATTGAGGCCAGGCATGATGAAACATACCTATAATCCTAGTACTAGAGTTTACAAGTTTGAGGTCAACCTGGGCTACAGAGTAAAACCCTATCTCAATAAACTAAACAAAACAATTTATTGGGATCGAAGTTTAATCTCTAGCACAGCAAATATATGCATATAATGTATGTATGTACATACATATAGATAGATATACTATATATAGATTACTATGAATATTTCTAGCATGAAAGTGATAGAAGGTTTCTTTTCTTCCCTACTCCCACTCCCCTTTTTTGAGACTGTCTTTCTGTATAGCCCTGGATGTCCCAGAACTCACTAAGTGGATCAAGCTGCCCTTGAACTCACAGATATCCACTAGCCACTGCTGCCTAAGTACTGGGATTAAAGGTGTGCACTACCACACCCAACATGATGTATGATTTTCAATCCTATGTCCTTTAAAGAAAAACAGGCTACATTACCAAGTAGATCTAACACCAAAATCCACCTCTCTACCCACAGCCCCTTACCTCTTCCCATTGTAGATCCAAGTCTTCAGGCATGCCCCTACTCTTTTCATATCATCCCTCTACTCACAAAGTCAGATACCCTGCCCCTAACTCCCCAACAGCCAGGCAGGATCGGAGTTCAAGGAAGATGATAGGAAGTATAGGGGAAACTAAGAAAGAATCTGAAAGGAAAAGAAGATGCCACTGTAATGGGAACCATCACCTACTCATCCAGCCCTGCCAAAACACATCTTACTCTTCTAGTATTCTCTATGCTAAAGGATAACCAATTACATCCTTAGTGAAGCTACTGTAGTTGGAGGCAATAAATTGTAGTCAACCTTCACAGCTCTGCAAGGGATATCAAAAGATTTTTATAGCATTGGTGGCTGAGTCCAAGGATTAAAGGGACACTCTAGGTCATGCCTTACTTTGCAGAATCCATATTCCAAATTCTTATCAGCCTGTTACTTTCTAGAACACACCATGCACTTTCTCACCTTCATAACATGGTTCATGTGATCACCTGACCTAGAAAACCACTGCAAAATAGCTTCCTAGGACCAGCACACATACTCCTGACAACCCCTACCAGTCAAAATTGACTACTTCCACCCCTCTGTTTCTAAAGCACTTTACCCCAGCCTCTGGCTACATATGAGAAGGGATTATTTACACATGTACTGTGCTGCTAAACTAGGAACTTGAGGATAAGGGTCATAGGATTCATTTGTCTCTTCAAACTTACCATTATGTCTTACCATACAGAAACAGCTCAAATCGATAAATAGAGGGTCATAACTCACAGAAAAACTAAATCATATATATGTATTTAAAGTATACACAAAGCATTCAGAAATAGCTAAACATTGCCTACCTCTTTGGAACCTGGAACACTGCTGTGGTCCTTCTCCATTATCAGCCATCTAAGAACATTTGGGATAGAGATGTTTTTCCATGTTGGCCATGGGTTAACAAATCTCCCATCTTTTCCTTTCTTCGATTTAGTTACATCTTCCTCTAGTCTATAATCCAGTTTGAAGCTTTTCCTGGAAAACCTGGAAGACACATTTCCTCCTGAATTCTGTACTGAGTTTTGTCGCTTCCTTACTGTTTCTTTAGGATATTGGTAGCTTGTCATTGGAGACTGGCTGTTTTCATTTTCATCCATGTCCTTTGGTGAGCTTTAAAAAGGAAAATACAAAGGGAGATTACCAAATTTAACAAAGTCATTGTAGTAGTTTAAATATAATTGGCCCCCATAATAAGGAATGGCATTATTAGGAGGTATGGCTTTGTTGGAGCAGGTATGGCCTTGTTGGAGGAAGTGTGTCACTGTGGGGGTAGGTTCAAGCCACGCCCAGTGTCTCAGACCACTTCCTGTTACCTGCAAGTAAAGATGCAGGACTCTCAGCTCCTTCTCCAGCACCATATCTACCTGCATGCCACCATGTGGTATCATGATGATAATGGACTAAACCTCTGAAACTGTAAGCTGCCACCCCAGTTAAATGTTTTCCTTTATAAGAGCTGCTGTGGTCATGGTGTCTCTTCACAGGAATAAAAACCCTAAGTTAGTCATTAAAGCATGTTAGTATCATTCTCAGACAATAATACTTTCCCAACCTTATAAGAATATTGTTTGTATTAACTCAAATGTTCTTGCTGCAAAATACAATTTTAAAATCCAGTATTACTACTTGCTAAAAAGAAAAGATGTTTGCCTTCCAGAAAAACATGCCAGCCAAGCCTTTCAAAAATCCCTTCACTGTTGTAACCTAAAACAACATTATTTCCCTAGCCAGCATTTAGACATAAAACTGTCTGTTTCAATGACATTCTACAGAGTAAACAGAAGCACTATTATGATTTGAGTACAAAGCACCCCTCAAAAAATGCCATGTGTTAAAGGCTTGGTTCTCAGCAAAGCTATTCTCAGAGGTGGCACTACTGACAAGATCATGGGGGCTCTGTCTTCATCAATGAAGTGATCAACAGAAGGATTCAAAATCTAATTCACCATTGGGAGGTGTAGGAATTATGAAAGCTGGGGCCTGCTTTGATGGAGGATGCACACTGAAAAAGAGACATGTTCCTAACTCTCCCTAGACTCCCACAGGCCCATGTCCTTCTGCCTCTGTGTCAGCCTCCCACAGGCCCATGTCCTGCCTCAGTGTCAGCCTCCCACAGGCCCAGAAACACAGAGCCCTCTACTATCTACAGAAACCTCTGTGAACCACAACAAATACTTGTTCTTTTTAAATTGCTTCCCTCAAGCACATATCACACACACAAAAAAAAAACAAAACAAAACAAAACAAAACTAATACAAGCACCTTTCTGCATCCATAATTACAAATGTTCTTAACAATAAGGAAAGACCTGCTTAGTTTCTTAATGATGCCACAGTAATTCAAGTGACTTACATATATACTACTAAGCTTAGTCATTCTCATACTGATGATAATCTACAACTTCTCCCCTAGAGAATATGAGTCCACCTGCCGAGGACAGAAACAGCACATTAATTAACCTAGTAACAACATAAATTTTAAGTAATTCAGACTTAAAACTGCCAAGACACTGCAGCATCCTAACTTTGAATAAATTTCCCATTTTTTCTTCATCTTGATTTTTTTCCCATCTATAAATGGGCACAAAGACATTATTGGTTCCTAGGGTTACTGAGAAGATTAAAGCACCTGAGTCAATGAACACACCTGCTCAGACAACCTTAGTTGCTACCCTTGACCTTGTCATCCACATTCAAGACACTGAAATCCTTGATTGTGAATCATGCAGGAGCAAAGCTATTTAGAAGAGGAAAAATAACACATCAAAAGTATGAAGTGACCTGCTATGAAGAACTTCATCTCCTTCCTATTGACTGTATTAAGCAGACACTTGCTTTCTAATTGTTTAGAATCAATGCATACACAATTACACACCTTATAACCCTTAAAAAAAAAACAATAACAAGCACAAATTACAGAAAACCAAATGTTATTTTCATGGCCACAGGGGTGTGAGAGAAAGAAAGGAAAAGAACACAGACCCCAAGAGGAACAGCCCCCAATCTTGTTTCTCTAATGTGAAGGAAAACAGTCAACCATCTGGAGAACACCACCGATGAAAAGAAACGGCAGCTAACAGAAGCCTCAGCAAACACTGCTGCCCCGACACCACTCTCCGGGGCAGTGCCTGGCAGCGAGAGAGGGTTCACAGGCTTCACATCCTAGGCAGATAACCTTTCCAATCCTCCTTCTTCTCACCTACAAAACACCCACCTACCTACCCTGGAGAGGTTCCAGAGGACCACACGACATAATGTACGTTAAGGACTTGGTACACACAAATGCTAATTCTTTTTTTCTCTGACCGGTTAACTGACCAAACATTTAAATTCTTTATGTTCTAAGGCTTAAGTGTTCTGGGTGAGGTGCCTCAGTTCCCACAGACTCACTTTTTGTCTTCAAATTTAAGCCTAGACTGAAGCCTTTACAAAGACACAGACAGTGACTATCATTTAAGTTCAGCTCGTATCAGATGAGACAGTGAGTTTAGATAAGCTTACATTACTATGTAAACAGATAATATATCTCATAGGAAAAGCTTACTGCTTGCTACCTTTTGTGATAATGAATAGCTTCTGAGATATATGTGCTTGTTACATATATACTTACATGTCTATATATTTACACACCTTTTAATATGGACATAGATTGTAATTGTACTTACTAATTAAATTTTGGCATGGATGCAAAAAAAAAAAAAAAACAGGAAAAAAGAAAAACAAGTATTTTGCTTCCAAGACCAAAACACTACATCAAAATAAGGTTTGGGGGCAATATTGAGCAGTCTCCTATAGCTAGGACATACAAAGCTAGAAAGATGTATTCAGAGGAGGAGGCCACCCTTGCACCTGGCCAGCCACATCAGGAAAGCCTGTCTATACTGTGGGCAAATGCAGAACACTGAAGATGCTTAAAAAGGATCCTTAGGAAAGACAACTCTAGTAACCGGATAAAAAAATGAAAAGAACAGTGTAGAAACTAGAACCACAGAGCTGGGTGTGGTGGCACACTTCTTTAACCCCAGCACTTAGGAGGAAAAAACAGGTGGATCTCTGTGAGTTCCAGGACAGCCAGGGCTACATAAAAGACCCTTCTCAAAACAAACAAACAAACAAACAAACAAAAGCCAACTTAACCCTAGAGCCAGGGAGCTGGATTACTGAGTATAAAAGAGAAGAAGCTTGGAACATCCACTAACCACAAATCACTGACTACATGTTCATACATTTCATTTAAATTAGGGCTGTCAGGAAGCCCTGAAGTTAAGGATCATAATCTCCAGTTTTTAATTGACATACCAAAAGCAGATAGCCCAATCAATAGAAAGTGAGACAACAGCAAAGAGGGAAAAAAAATCATTAAAATAAATCCTAGAGTTGAGCTGATAAAGAAGCTGAAGTCAGTAAGATATGAAAGCATTTGGATGGTTAGAAATTTTGGAAGCTTGTGGATGAGGTAGTAAAGTGGAAGGAGTCAGACCTGGCAGAACCCGAGTCAAGGTAGATTTATGACATGCTGAAATAGGGTCTAATGTCACGGGGAAGCAAGACTCCAAGTACAAAAGCCAATGTGCCCAAATGGAAATGGACAATCATGGGATCCAAACTGCTAGGAGGCTGCTCAGAATAACAGTGAGAGCACAGAGAGGGGTCTGGAGAGTGAAACACATTGAGTGATGTTTGTTCCCTAGACAACAGTTTTCCCCAGTGCCTACTCATTTTCCTACCTCTGATTCCCTCAGGCTTTCATTCTAATCAATCTAGAATAAGTCTGCACACCACATGACCACCTTCACTTTATACCTCCTATGACCCCTACACAAACACACATGTAATCTTCAGGGGTGGTCTTTGACAGGCCACCTCATGCAAACAAGACAACAGAGAAAGGCCTCAGGGCTTCTCCTGCAAAAGTCAGTAAGATGGTTCAGAAAGGCTTAGGCTTCTGGTCCTGCTCATGTTCCTCTTGCCTCCAAACACCAGCTCTTAACCTGTGTTCCTCAGATGTGTTAGTTCCTACCTTGAGACCACCAAGTGCCTCCATAGGGATTGTACATGTGATTTCCTAGCATCTGTGGGATGGGAAAAGGGGTGCATGAAAATTAGTAGTTACAGGATTATCTAGTACTTCCATAAAAGATGTCATGCAATACTAATGATGACACTACATGCATGCAGTTCTCTGCAAGAGAATGATGAGGAGAAAGATGAGAAGAACTGAACCATGACAATCTGGAATGATGCTTTTGGAGGCAAAGTCCTGAAAGGCCATTCAGTGAATGTGAAAAATGACAACCTGAGCCCAATACCATGGGGACATAGAGAGCCTGCCTGAGAGCTGAGTCATGAGGTGAGAGGGCCTCTCACTCATCAATGCCAGCCTCTGGTCACTCACTCCATTAGTGTCTATAGCAACAGTCTTACAAAGGGCACCATTAAACACCAGATGGAATGACAATAAAATTAGAAATGAAGTGTATGTATTCAAAAGCTCCATATTTGAGCCTTTCAAGTACAAATCTGTTACAAAAAATATGACAATTTCATATTAAATAAACACTGAGTATTAATTGCTTATTTAATAGCAGAAGGAAACATCCCCTACATCTCTAACAAAAGGGAGGTCTGAACCATGACATTTGATAAAGAAAAGCCAGCCAAGTACAAATATTTTACTTCAATAACTGCACACATGGGTAAAATGCTTTCTAAAAACAAAAATTCTTTATTTCAGAGTTGTTTCATACATTTGACATTTAAAACATGCCAACTCCAAGAATTGAATGTACTGCTTTATCATTTGAAAAGTTTGAAAAAAAACACAACAGTACAACCTATGTTTGGGGCTTCAACATTTGCAAAAAATAAGGAAGCAGCAGATTAGAATTCCTACAACAGACATTTAATAAATACCGTGACTATTACACAACAATAATGCTGATGTTACATCTGGAATATTCAGAACTATTTTTCATATATCAGACTGAATAAAGCTACCCTTACAATTTTATATTTGTTCACCTTTTCTTTATTTGAAGAGAAGGGTCATTTTACTACAATGCTAGATAGCATAGGTTAAAAAATAACAGCATCCCAATTCTCTGAAATAGT